TCAATAAAAATGTGTCCGAGTTCAGATGAATTTTAATAAAGATAAAAAAGACTGTACGATAAACAACCGACAAGTTTTTTTGACTGTAAAAAAATGTTGATTACCAGTTTTAACTTTGATTTGATTTTTCTTATTGATCGAATCATGAAAAAGTACAATCTCCTAATTTGCTTGCTAGCCGAGCTCACCGTTGCTCACTATCCAGTAATTTTTTCCGTTCATAGGAATCTTCAAATTTACCTTGAAGACGTCTGCAGTAAAACTCACTCTGGAAAATATTTAATTTTAATCAACAATCTGATAACCAAAAATGACAGCAGAAAAAGTTTAACTCAATTTGAAGGGTCAATTAGCCTAAGAAAGTCAAACATTTTAACCTTTTTTAAACGTTCTCACTGCTCTCACACTTTTCACACCAACATTACAAGTTATCACCTGTTGAACAGCATTCCACTGATCAGCAAGTACTATCACCGTCAGCATATTGTGCTTATCTTTGAATTTACTCAATTTACTCAATTTTCACCTAATGATGAGCTCCAGCATTTTCATTCCATTATCAGAACACTTTCGTACATTTACAGTCGGTGCCTGGCTTGTGCTCCGCTACTAGTGCACTTTAGTCATTTGTCACTGTACAAAATTTTTACATTTTCAAAGCTGCTGTTTAGCAAAGTATTATCCGATTTTCAAGCAGTGATTTTTTCAGCGAAAATTAACGGCAGAAGTAAAGATACTGCCGTTTACTTAAGGCCAACGCTGAGAGGTTGTAAAGTGGAAAATAGAGTGATAATGCCAAAAGAAGGTTCAAAGATGATGAAAGAGGTGAAAACTCAATTTCAAAAATGTGATTTCGATTTCACCACTTTCAAAATTGCCGTTAATCATGTGAGTCAAAATTTAAACTTGATTTTAAAAATAAAACAATTTTTTGTTTTTTAGATTCCTCCTTTTTGCATTGTGAAGAGAAAGAAAACCTTAGGTACCACAACTTCACAACTTCAAATAATGACCTCCATTGAGCCAGAACTACTGAAACTTCTAGAGAAAAAGTTTCATTTTCGAAGCGCCTTTGTGGACGCTCGCCAGAGCTGGGGCATGAAGCTGGATAATGGAACATGGGACGGCGTCGTCGGAAAGGTTCTTTACAAGGTAATTCAGTGGTAAAAGCTTAAATACTTGTTTAAACTTCTTAAAACTCACCAGAAAGCCGACTTTGCCATTTGCGACATCAGCTTCAGCACAAAACGCTTCAAGGTGATCGACTTTGCCTCCATCATCTACTACAATGAAGTCACCGCTCTCTCGCACAGCTCCAGTCGACGGCTGAATCGGGTCAACACTGCCCTCTTTATGACGCCCTTTCCAGCCTCGGTCTGGCTTCTAACTTTAATTTCAGCCATTGGTATCTTAATTCTTCTAAAAGCTTTCAACCGAAAGTACAACTTGATGGCCACCTTTCGACTGAAGTTGGTGGGCATTCTTCTGAAGCAGTGTAAGAAAGACAGTTTACTGTACAAAAAATTTCTAAAAAACTTTCCATTTTAAGCCATGACGGTCATCTGCTCTAGGGCTCACAACTCGGAGCGTCTTTTACTAGCCACCTGGATGATCACCTCACTGATCCTCTCCACCGTTTACTGCACACTCTTCTTCGCACTGATCACCGTGCCCCAGTACGAACGGCCAATTGACACCAGAGAGGACCTCCTTCGGGTGGCTCAGTCAGACAGTCACTTTCTGCTAACGAGAGGTCATTCCGCCTTCCAAACCATGTTCATCTACGCCCGCCGCAACCAGAACGCCCTTTTCTATGAAATCGGTCGACACATGAATCGGTTAGTTTAAGCTAAGTTTCCCTTAGCACCTCAAAACTTTTCTACCTTCTAGAACCAAACAAAAGATGATCGTCGACGACGAAAGTGAGATTGAGGTAGCGGAACGAAGTCCTCGAAACGTCATTCTTGCCACGCGAATGTTCCTCATCGCAAATCGCTTCTTGGAAGCGACCAAACCGTTGCACATTGCCCGTGACGTTCTTGTACCTGACTTTATGTCTTTTCTTCTGCCAAAAAAGTCCACTCTTCGACGGCCGTTTAACATTGTGTAAGGAAGAATTAAGAGAATGTCTTTCAAAGAAATTTTTTAAAGTTTTAACCTCATCTTTCTATCCTAGAATAAAACGTGTTCGAGAGATGGGCCTCTTTGACAAGTGGACAGTGGTGACGTTGAGTGGACTGCAAAGCAAGTCTCGTCTGCTGCGGAACTCCTATCTCTATGAGCCATTGGGCCACTTTGATCGGGTCAATAGGACTCCAGAAGATTTCAGTTCGCTTAATCTGGAGAACGTCTACTCCATCTTTATTGTTTGGTCAGGCGGCGTGGCAGTTTCGTTGGCCTGTTTCATCTTCTATGACGTGCTGTACTTTTGCTTAGTCGTTCGGCCTGTTTTGGTTGTTTAGTCCTGTGAAAATGCACGACTGTTTGTTTTATTGATCGGTGCTGTCAGTAGCTTTTATTTACAAATCAATTAGTTCAATTGGTTGTTCTGTTTGGGTGAATCTAACTTCCTAAAATACCTCAGCACTTAAACATGCTCGAGAAAAGCGTTCTCCCGCCGGTTGGAAATGTCCGTCAGCGCGAAATGCTCGTACAGATTTGATGAATGGTACTTTGTTTTGATTTTTTAATTTTCACTGCAGCCAAAAGACCCCACTGCATCACATTGCACTGTGGTGCAAATTGTTACCAATCAATGTACTCACTAGCCCAAGTAACGTACCACCGTCTTCTTCGTAGATCCACGAGATTCTTTAGCCGAAGTGTCAACATGGGAAAGACGCTGAATGAACTCAACTTTGTTAATGGGGTACTGAAGAATCTGCCCGTCGATGAAGATCACTCTGAGCATCCGCATACAGTGCACAATGCCTGCTTTTCGCTAGTCAAACCCACGCCGTTGCCCAATCCAAGGCTAGTGTGTCATTCACTGTCAGCTCTGAAGCTAATTGATTTGGACGAGTTATCAATTGATGAGCAGTTTGTAAGGTTTTTCACTGGCAATGAAATCATTCCCGGGTCCGAGACGTTTTCCCACTGTTACTGTGGTCATCAGTTTGGTAAGTGATCTAGAGCCTTTACGTTCACTTTGTATAATTATGCGTTTACACATAGGAACTTTTGCTGGTCAGTTAGGCGACGGTGCAGCCATATACCTCGGCGAGATTGTCAATTCAAAGAACGAGCACTGGGAGCTGCAGCTGAAAGGTGCCGGTCTAACACCATACTCCCGTGATGCGGATGGTCGGAAGGTGCTTCGTTCGAGCCTTCGTGAGTTCCTCTGCAGCGAAGCAATGCACAGTTTGGGAATTCCGACTACCCGGGCAGCCACTTGCATTGTCAGCGATAAAAAGATTGCTCGAGACCAATTCTACGATGGCAATCCAAAGATGGAAAACTGTGCCGTCGTCTCGCGTTTGGCTCAGTCTTTCATTCGTTTTGGATCCTTTGAAATCTTCAAACCTAGGAACGTCGACTCAGGTAGTTGGGCTGTTGGCCCTAGTGTGGGCCGACACGACATACTCGCCCAGCTAGCTGACTATGTCATCAAGTCACTCTTTCCTGCAATTGACTCGATGGAGATTACTCAGCTGGAAAAGTACAAACTGTTTTACAAAGAAGTGGTCATCAGCACGGCAAAGCTGACTGCAAAGTGGCAAGCTGTAGGTTTCGTCCACGGCGTCCTGAACACCGATAACATGTCAATTCTCGGACTGACACTCGACTATGGGCCTTTTGGCTTTATGGACCGATTTGATCCGGATCACATTCCCAACACGTCAGACACAAACGGACGGTATCGCTTCCGAGAGCAGCCTGTTGTTTGCGCTTGGAATCTCCGCAAACTGGCCGAAGCATTGAGACCGTTAGTGTCTCTCGATGAGACAACAGATATTCTTAGTGAGCACTACTTTCCAGCACACCAATCGGATTTTATGGCAATAATGATGCGCAAACTGGGCCTACTCAAAAGTCTTGAGTCAGATCAAGAAAACCTGCTCAGTGATCAAGAAGTGCTCAGTGAATTCTTGCAAACGCTACTCAAAGTTGGCGGCGACTACACAAACAGCTTTCGTGCGCTGAGTAAGCTTTCACTGCCCGGAATGGAAACCTTTGACGAAGATTTTGAGAAAACTCGTGACGAACTAATCAAACAGTCGAGTACGCACGATGAAATGAATGACTACTTCCTCAACTACAGAATCTCGTCAATGGTGCAAATGAAACTGATGCAGTTGAAGTTTTCTGGGCAAGCCGAGGCGGAAATGGATGACAAGACAAAGCAAATTGTCAGTCGACTGCAGTACCACCAGTACATATCGGTAAGTGTTGGTTTTATTTTTGCAATTCGTTTTATTTTATGTTTACTTTTTTAGGAACTGACTACTGAAGAGTATACGAAAGAAGTCCACGAATCGTGGGACTCGTGGCTAAAAAAGTACATCGACCGACTGAATCACGAGGTAGTGGGACATGAGGAAGAGAAGGAGTTGAAGCTTCTTGATGAGAAAAGGAAGAAGCTGATGAATGCAAACAACCCATGTTATGTGCTGCGAAACTACCTGGCGGAAGAGGCCATCAAAAAGGCGGAAAGTGGCGATTTTAGCGAAGCAAAGAAGCTACTGTCCGCACTGGAGGATCCCTTCACTGAGCGAGCTGAATTTGCGCACTACACTCAGAAACCAACCAAATCAGCATGTAAATTGCGCGTATCTTGTTCTTCTTGAAAGTCTTTTGTTCTGTTTTTATTGACGATAAAATAAAAATCTTTTAGTTTTGTTGCCTCACCACAATCCATATCTTTGAAGAGTTGTCTTTTCGAAGCAATGTCATCTGTTTTCAACAGCACATGTGCTTGTAAATAAACAAATCGGCAAAAGGTGATCATTTCGCCGAAGCTGAACTTGTTCCATCATGTCTAGTCAGCGACTGATCGAAGGTTTCAAGAGCGTATCCAAAGTGGTCAGACCTGATCAGCTAACGCCGACACTCATCCCCAGACGCCTACCGCCTTTGCCTACTCCGAAAGATCTGATTCGCGTCTACCGAATTCGAGCACGCAAGCACCTGTCGCAAAACTTTCTCCTGTACAAGAACTTCAACGAGAAGATAGTCACCTCTGCTGGGGTGAAAAATGGCCAACATGTGCTTGAAATCGGTCCAGGACCGGGAAATATTACCCGTCAAATTCTGGAGCGAGGACCACAGCAGCTGTACGTCGTTGAAAAGGATAGGAGGTTTCTGCCGATGCTCGAGGTAAAAGGGCCGTTTTGATCTTCTACTTCTAACTTTTTTTAACCCATGCCATGTTTTTGCAGATGCTCGCCGATGCAGGACTTCCAGGTCAGATGAAGATCATTGTGGGCGACGCAATGGACTACACCTTTGACAGACTTTTTCCCGATGAAATCAGCACCGAGTGGAGTCAACCGTCGCCGCCGATTTGCGTCATTGGAAATTTGCCCTTCAACGTCTCAACGCGACTCACCCTCAAATGGATTCACCTCATGTCAGAGCAGTCAGGCTTCTTCCGCCATGGCAGGGTGCCACTTACACTGACCTTCCAAAAGGAGGTCGCCCAGCGAATGGTGGCTCCGGTGCTGGACCACCAGCGCAGCCGCCTCTCTATCATGTGCCAGAACTGGTGCGACGTGAAGCTGCGACTGAACATCAGCGGCAAGTACTTTGTCCCCGCGCCGAAGGTGGACGTCTCCGTGGTGAAGCTGGTGCCGTTGGTGGAGCCGCGCATAAAGCTGCCCTTCAAGGTGGTGGAAAAGTTCGTCCGCCATCTCTTTCACTACCGCAACAAGCACATCCGCTTCAGCCTGGGAACGCTCTTTCCGTCCGACCTGAAAGACCTCAACGAGGAGCTCTTCCTGCAGACGGGCATTCAGCCGATCCTCACGCCGGCAATGCTGGCCATCGACGAGATCGGCGCACTGTGCACGCTGTACCAGCGGATGTGCGAGGAAAACTACGGCCTCTTCGAGTACAACTATCGCGCCCAGAAGGCACTGCCCAAGTCGGCGCTGAAGAAGGCACTCAAACGACCTGATGAACCTCCCTCTACCCCTGCTGAACCGGTCATATGAGAAAATATATACTTTATTTTGTAATGTAGTGCTCAAATAGGTTTGTCAAAGTTCAACATTCGAAACATGGGAAGCACTGGGTGGCGAAACAAACAACGATATAACAAAACAGTGGTAATATTAGCAAATTGCAATTGTAGTAATAGGAGTAATAATATGTGGAAGAGGTTGTGTGTGTGCTCTTTTCGGTGTCAAAGAGATCTCGAGTTTTCGAGTCGAGTCGATGTCCAAATGGGCAACAGGTGAAAAACGATAGAGAGAGAGAGAGAGAGATAGGTGTGGGAGAGAGCAAAGGCGAAAGAATATCGCAGAGAAAATAGGAGGCGGCAAATGAAGGTGGTGGTGGTGGTGGTGGTGAGGGGGATATAGATGCGCTTCGGTGCCCGCAGGCTTGTGTGTTTGTTTGTAGGTAGGTAATAAGTTCACAGAAAGCAAACGTCTGGTTTCTTCTGGTAAGTGCAAATGGCCCGTGTCGTGTAGCTAAAGGAGTAGTGTTGTGACAGTGTGAGTAGTGTGAGACAGCAGTGTGTTTGAGGGTGTGTGTGTGTGTGTTGATGGAGGAGGGTAGGTGGTAATATGAGAGAATAGTAGAAAATAGAAAAACAAATTGGTGCTTACTTGTTGTACTCGCTGAAGGGATCATCGAACGTGCTGGCCTGACCGTCCAGGCCCAAATTGAAGTCAGTATCACAGTTGGGGAAGCCATCATTAAACTGATCTAACCCTTCAGCTAGGAGATCATTGTAGTCATCTCTGGCCGCCTTGCCCATCGTCAGCGGCGAGGAGGAGTCACCGTTCAGCTCATCCTGCCCAGAGCCCGTCCCAGAGACAGCGCCGCCCTCGCTAATACAGGAGTTCAGTTGAGCACCGGACACCAGCAGGTCCTGTCCGCTCTGAATCAAGGGGTCGTTGTCGTTGGTGAGAAGCTCCTCAATGTTGACGTTGGAGAAGAAGCCTCCACCACCACCACCGCCGCTGTCGCCGCCGCCGCCACTTCCCTTCAGACTGTTGCTGCTGCTGTTGGCAGTCGTCGAAGTGGGCGTCCCCATGGCTGAGGAGGAGTGAGGTAAGGTAAAGCTTTCATTGTGGTTGACACACAGAGGGGTCGATGGGTAGGACTTGGAGATGGGACTGGGCTGCTCGAGGTCAGAGAGACCGGTGCTGTTGCTGTTGTTGCCACTGTTGTTGGCAGCGTTCATTATTGCATTGCCAGCAGTGCTCGTAATCTGCCCAAAGCTGTCGTAGTGCGGTTCAAGCGAGCTGTCAAAGCTGCCTCCTCCTCCTCCTCCTCCTCCTTGGAACAGCGGATCAGTCAGTGGCACCGACTGTGAGCGGCTCAGCAGCATCTTGAGCGACTCATCGCTGGACGTGCCAGTGTCCGCAGTGATTGTACTGTTGTTGTTGTTGTTGTTGTTGTTTCCCGGCGTTTCTGGCTTCATCAGCGCACTGTTGTTGCTGTTCACTGCGCCGTAGGGATTGGAGAAGTGCCGTTGTCGCAATTTGGACATAAAGGGAAAGTTCTCCATTGTAGAATTAAAACTGGGCAACATGTTGGAGGCAACATCGAAACCTGGCTTGAGGTCGGTTTGGGTGACGACGTTGCACTTGTTGCCGCTGTTGTTGGTGGAAGACATCAAATCAGAGTTCAGTGAATTGAGTAAATACGAAGGACTATTGTTATTATTGTTGTTATTGTTATTGCTGTTGTTCAAAAAGTAACTGCCATCAGTGATGACCATCGGCGAGAGCGAGTTGCTGCGGTGGTAGGCCATCACGTTCGAGACAGTTCGGTTAATGGGCCCACCTGGACCCGAGCTGTGGCGCTGTCGAAAGTTGTTCGTTTGCAGACTGTTGTTTGCATTCTCCATGCGGTTCATGATGCGAGCAGTGCAGGGAACAGGCGTCGGGTGGGGCGAAATGAAGGGCGAACTGGAGATGGAGGACACTCCAGAGTCAAAGTTGTTGTTGTTGTTGTTACTGCTGCCGCCGCAGCCGCCAGCACCGCTCAGCATGGGCGTCGTCTGTCGGTACTGGTTGCTGTTGCTGTAGTTGCTCTGTCCGCTGTTGTTCCGAGAGCGTGACATTGAGTTGGGCGTATTGCGCGGCGATATGAAGGGGCTGTTGTTCTCGCTGGGCGGCTGGGAGGTGCCAACAGCGACGCTGTTCATCTGAGGGGCAAAGGCAGCAGCGTTATTTCCGTTGAAGTTGCCCTGCTTCAGCATGTTCATCTCCAGAGCGGAATTTTCAGGAATCGTCGGTGTGTCGCGCGGCGAAATGGGCTGAAAGTTAAACTGCCGCCGCCGAGAGTTCGGGCTAGGCGGAACTGAATGATGGTGGGTTGAGTGGCTGTTGTGGACACCACCACTACCACACAGTGCAGAGCTGTCATTGAATTGAAAGCTGCCGTTGAAATTGTTCGGTGTGAGGCTCAAGTTTGAGTTGGAGTTGCTGTGGTCAACTGTGCCGTAAATGGCATTGCTGCCGTTGTTGTTGTTGTTGTTGATGTTATTGATGGCCGCTCCTTTGAGTCCACCTCCATGCGGGTGGTTAAATGTGGGCAAACTACTCTCCAGATATTTACGAATCTGAGTAAAGTCTTTGTTGTTGTTGCTGTCATTGTTGGCAAGGGCCGGTGACAGCTGCTGCGTCGGTGTTCCGCCGTTGACACTCTCAAAGCTGACTGCGCCATTGTTGTTGGCAGTGGTGTGCAGGTAGTCAAAGAGCGCCTCACTTTCAAGCTCATTTACTCTCAGGTCAGAGTTTTCCACCGCACTGTTGCCTCTTTCCTCCACGTGCCGCTTCTTGGCCATAAACTGAATTCCGTCTCTCTCCTCGATGGACCGCTTAAAGTTTTTATCCGCCTCTGAGGAGGCAGCCAACTTGAGCTCTGATCCAAAGCCGGGCAGCTGTAGCCCTCCATCAGAGTTTAGGCTCTTTCCCTCCGAAAGGGCGAGGGCTTCCACGCTGAAGGGACTGGCAACAGAGTGGCGTCTCTTCTCGAGGTTCACCGCCTGCTGGCCGACCAAACAGTACGAGCCGTCTTCCGTCTTCACTACTACCTGTGAGAAATCGAGACTGCTCGGCTTCGGTTGGATTGTCTTGTACATCTTTGGGAAGAGGCCGTTGCCGCAAGCAGCAGAGATCGTTGGGCTCATTGTGGCAGCACTCACAGCTTGAGGGCTCTTTGTAAGGCAGCTGAGCAGGGAGTTTGGCTGCGGCAGAGCAGACGGCGTGTTAGCAGTCGCTTGATTTGGTGAGAGCATCGCGTTAGTTGATTGCGGCGCATTGCTCAGCTTGTTATTGCAATTGGTAAATAAGGCCTGAAAAGAAAGAAGTGTGTAATTGCAATTGTAACAACAACTGACCATTTCCCCCTTACCTTCGTATGAAAAAGATCATCAATTGGCTCACTTTTAATCTTCATCTGTGACCCGTTGTTGCTGCTGAAAGCAGATGGACCACCGTTGGCGGCAGCGAGCGAGAAGTTGAATGTATTCTTGGGGACCTGGTGACCTCGAATGGGCTGGTTGATAGAAGGGCCCGCTGAGGTGCTCCCACCACCTGCGACCACCACTTTGGATGGCACTCCGGCGGTGCCATTGATCATCAGATCGCACTTCTTTTTCTCGTGCATCTTCTTGCCCAGCTGATTGGTCATTTCCTTCTTCCTGATGGCAGGCGGCGTTTTAGCTGAGGAGGAGGGAAAGCTCGAGGAAGAGGCAACTACACCAGCGCTCATCCGGCGACTCTGCTCCTGTTCGTCGAGAAAGCGAGCACAGTCGGCGGTGCTGGTGAACTTGCGCTTGTACTGCTGTTCCACCCACTGGAGAATGACACTCCATGGACTGTCCCCACCTGCCGTTCCATTGGAGGCAGTCTTGCTGAGCAGTGTTCGGGCGAATGGATAACCACTTCCGCCGCTAGTGACCACTGTTTTTTGCTGCTGCTGCGGCTCGCTAGTGTCGAGAATGGGCAGCTCAGGGCACTCGAGCACCAGTCGCTTCCTCAGGCCACTGTAGCAGTACTTGGAGTTGCCGCGCTGGCCGAGGCGTCTCGGCTTGACGCTGGGGAACATCTGTCGCATGGCCTTGCCAAAGTCGGCGACGCACAGCTTCTCAAAGTTGTTCCGCTCGCAGTAGTCCTTGTAGTCCTGGTACACCTCATGCTTGGGCGTCGACACGACACTGTCCTCCAGCAGGTGCGTCTGAATCCAGGTGTACGCCTGCACCACCTCGGTGTCGGTCTTCTTCCCAAAGGGATAGTTTACCTTCCTGAGAAAATAGAGAAAAAGTAAACGTCAGTTTTTTTGTTGTTTTTGACACAGTGTTTGAACTAAAGTTGTCGCGACACTTACTTTTTATTATCTCCACCGGCAGTGCCGGTGTTGCCAGTCGTCCCTTCAGGCAGCTGAAGGTACAAGTAGAGCTTCTCGACGTCGTTCAACTTCTCCACATCGTGCTAATAATAGAATGCTTATTAGTTGCATTTCATTCAATTGGCCATTATCACTTACAAGTATGGTAGCGATTCGCTCCTTTGCCGTCTCGCTGAAAGGGAGAAGAAAAAGAAGATAGTTTAGCAAACAAGGAACTAGCGTGTATCTGAAGCGAGGAATGATTAGAATTATAATTGCTAAATATTACTCTCGTATCTGAGCGCGATAACTGACAAGCGGTGCAAGCGAAAGCAATAAATTGGGTGCGATAGCCAGGACAGGCTGAAAAGAGGGAGAGAGAAAATGAAAGAGGGGAGAGGATGATGAAGTGAAAGGCAGAGGATAGGACCGGTAGAGGTAGATGAACAAGGAGAAAAAACCTCCTCTCCTTGGCCAACTGGGAGCACATCATTACGTAACTGAAGCTGAGGCGGCGGCGGACAACCCTCCCCGATTGACATGCTTCGAGTAGCATCCAAGCACTGAGGATGCTTCACGCTCATCAGTCTCGGCAATGGGCAACATTGCTGCATTGATGGCCGATCCTGAATAGAAGACACAGCTAGAATTGAGCAGGAGCGTCAGCTTCTTCAAAAGTGGTGAAACTTTCAGTCACGGACTGGCTACCTGTTCTCTTGCTTGCCACTTTTGAACATACCTACACAGACAGAAAGACAGGCAGACTGAGAGAGACACTGCGGAGTGCTGCACTAGGTAATCAGCGCACAAGGACACCAGAACAAGTGTAGCAAGTACAGAAGAGAGAAGGAAAGGAGGAGAACCTCTCTGTGGAGACTATTAGGCTTCGAGACAGTGCTTAATTGCCAAATGCAAAATGCCGTTACCGGTTTCAACCGCCTCAGCACGGACCTCAGCTTAGCATGCCTGAAAGCACTACTAGTCTTTACCCATTGGTTTCACCCATCACCGATTTTGGGTTCAATGATAGGGGAAATGATTAAACAAAACAAGGTAAAGGTGGCTCAGCTAGATTAATCGGAAAGATCTGACTAGTAGCTAGCTAGTGAAGCAAATGTCAAAGGAAAAAAGGGAAAAGGTCAACTGGTAAGCTGTCAATGCAAAAATACCTGAGACTCTGGCTGATGCTGCCGATTCTTGACGTAGTCGGTTTGTCAGTGGTATTTAGTGATGGCAGTTGTGATGATGAGGTATGGCTCGTAGAGCTCGTAGGAATTGAATTGGAGAGCATTATAGTTGAGGAAGACAGGTTTGATTTGTGGGAAGAGCTGATGCCGTAGACATCGTTGGGTTCACTTAAAATTCTCATTGATGCCGACGGAAAGCGAAGGGACGGGTCGGCAGATTTGGTCGGCTGGTGCGGTCGAGGCGGCTGCTGCTTCAGATGTACGCCGCTGTCTTGGACCATTGCAGTAGTAGTCATACACTGAGGACCCGCTCAAGTCCACGCAGGTACGATCAATTAGATGAAGCTGGCGATAATTGAGGACACCTTGGTGAGAGCACCATCTCTAATGCAGCACTTCACCAATCGACGCTGGCTGAGGATGATAGTGGTGGCGATGATGGTGATGGCGATGGTGATGGTGATGATAGAGTCACTATTTCCACTAGAGCACTGGTGCCACCCAAAGAACTATACAAACAACAGCAATCAAAGTCGCGCCACATTTAAAGTGCCACCTGACGCCAGGGCGCCGGGGTACCTGTCAGTGGGCGAGCCGTCGTCTATCACGGGCTGAGGGTATCACTGAGGTAGTGGGAGGTTGTCGATTGCTGAAGACGGATCACAAGGAGAAGGTGGGGAGAGGCACTTGGTGGTGGGGTCGGCGACGACCAGGAAAGTCACTCGTTGTTTACATCTTGCCGTTTGCTGGCAAACGGTGCTGGCTAAGGTGGTGGCGGTGGAAGAGGCAGTTGTCGCCACAATCTTCGGCGGTGACAAGTGCTGGCTTCGCCTGACAGCCCAAGGCGGCTACCTTGCCGGCACCGAGAGAGCACCTACAGAAGACACTGAGCTTTTCTTCCTCCTCTGTTGCTGATCAAAAGGAATATTCTTCTGCCCTGTCGGCGACAATGGCAGCGGTCGAGCGGAGGACGACGGAGAAGAGTCAGTCAGTCTGTTAGTAGTAGCTCTCAGCGGCGACTGGAGGCGGCAGAGCGAGCAAGTGAGCGAGAGAGCGAGGACAGCCTGCTGAGGCCACTCAGTAGGTGGCTGCCGGCCGAAGAGCGGTGGGGGTGGCCGGGTGGTCTTCTCGCTGTCTGCAGACGAGCCTAGGACGAGGTATCGTCAAGTTGGGAACTGTCGGCAGACGCTGTCGGCACTGTCGGCGCGTGTGTGTGTGACACAGGCAAGGGCGCTTGGATAATCCAAGTTGGAGTCGGTGCTGTGTTGAGTTGCTCACTGAATCCCAGCTGCCTCGAACTGCGTACTCGCCGTCGATGAAGGCAAAAGGCGCTCTCGTCAAAAGATGGCGCCAGAAGAAAGCTGTTAGGCTGACAGTGCCAAAAACTTCGGCTAGATGTCATTTCGGCCGCTTGTCAGGCGATCTTTCAAAATCTAGTTGTTTCTTCGCTGATTCACTCCAGCGCTCTGATATTTCCTTGTCTCATCATCAGACTTTATTATTTTGAATTTCCCTACCAGTTACTCCCTAAAAAACCTCCTTAGGACTATCACAATGACTGATCCGTCACCGTCGTCGCCCAATGAGAGCTCATCCCAGCCGAACCCAGCTCAGCCAAACTGGAAGGCTGCCGCGAGGTTAGTGACACTGGACGCGATTAGGATGATTCGTCATTACAGATGTGCGCTGGACTAACCACGAATTCTCGTTCCATTTCAGGTTCATGAGCTCCAAACGAACGGACACCTTCCTTCTGGGAATTCGTATTCTGACGCTGGCGTTCACCTTCTTCTACCTAATTCCATACAGTCCATTTTCGGCTGCTAACCTTTATCAGAAAGTGCTACTGGCCAATGCGGCCATATCAGCCCTTCGCCTGCATCAGCGACTGCCGCCGTTCCGCTTCTCGCGAGAGTACCTGGCAATGGTCCTGATCGAGGACTCGGCCCATTATCTGTTCTACTCAATGATTTTCCTACCGAATCGTCCCATCACCCTGGTCCTCCTGCCGGTGGTCCTCTTTGCTCTCCTTCACTCCAGCAGCTTCTTGCTCTCGATTCTTACGTCAACCGGCTCAAGAGGTACTTGACTGAAACGTTTCTTTCATTGTCAATATAACCATTTCCTTCAATATCATAGGATCATTTGGCAACATGATTGCCGCATTTCTAGAGATGTACCAGAGGGAAATTTTTCTCACTATTGCGCTGACTGAAATTACGCTAATGCCCACACTTATATTCGCCATCATGAGTGGTCTTGCAAGGTAAAGCTGAAGAATAGTTCTTGCTTGGCCTGCTTAACACGCAACCACTTTTTTTTATTCTGAACTACCACCAACAGCATATTCAGTCCGCTGATGTTCTACCAGTTTATTGTCTTGCGGTACTCCTCACGGCGAAACCCGTACACCCGTCAGGCGTTCCACTGGATCCGCGTTACCATGGAGAACTTTACCGCTTCTCCACGCTGCCCGTCCTTTGCGCGAACGTTCATCAGCAAATCGATTGAGCTCGTCTGCCGCCTGGCGCCGCCGGTGGCCGCTTAAAGTGGCGTCACCATTCGCAGTCTCTGTCTCTCTTCACCGGCAGAAGTGCACTGATGGCCGTTTGCTGCTGCTGTACTACCTTTGCTAGCTCTACATGAAAGCACCCTCTAGCACACTCGATTCCTCCCTGTAAAGAGACATTTTGTAGCTGTAGTTGTCAATCCTACTCCTCTCTTTTTATACCTGTTTTTGTTTTTCCTATTTATTGCCATTTATATACCGTTCCCAGTTCTCACATGTTTTCGTGTACCCACACTTCCTCCACACACACACTCAATCACACTATACCAATGGTTACAGCGGCCCACATCGGCTCGGATGCCACCACACAACCCACTGCAGAAGACAATGAAACACTTTCCTTGCTATGAAATAAAATAATATCGAGGTGACTGAAATAAATATCATCAGTTTAATAATAGAAAAACAAGCAGTGAAGTAAAAAAAAGAGGAAAAGAGAAGAAGTGAAGAGGGCCTGGCATTATTTGCATGATGGGTCAATCAGTAACACAGTCGAGTTGAAGTGTGAGGGAGAGTGGTGAGTGGACCGAGAGGGAAGAAAAGGAAGGAGGAGGGGTAGTGGGCATGCACCAAGCCAAGAATGGGAGGAAAAAGAGAGAGAGAGAGAGAAGAGGTTCAGGGCAAACCGGGCACACCAGTTGACCGGATCAGCGCCAACAACTTTCATTCTAATCGTTTGGTACTGTGCGGTGGTGGTGGTGGTGGTGGTGATGGTACTTTGATGATGGTGGTGGTCGTTGTGTGGTGTTGGAAGAGTTGTAGTGGCACGAAACGCAGCGTCGATCATATAAATATGGAATGAAAGCGAAACGTACGACATGGAAAAATACTTTGCAGAGAAAGGAGAGAAAGCAACTTGGAGGAAGCTACGCCAATGGCATGTGTAGGTGTGCCTGTCTGTGTGTGTGTCTGTGTGATGGCTTGCAGTAAATTGGGGAGAAGGTTGCTTTGTGGTAGTCATCATCATAAANGCATGTGTAGGTGTGCCTGTCTGTGTGTGTGTCTGTGTGATGGCTTGCAGTAAATTGGGGAGAAGGTTGCTTTGTGGTAGTCATCATCATAAAAACATTAATTGGTTCGCCTCTCAGAAACAAGAACAAGAAGCCTGGTGGTGGTGGTCGTGGTGGTGTCTGGCTTCAGCATCTCTTCAGTAATTAGCAATTGGAAAAAGAGGATATTGTAAACTCACTAAGATAGCAATAGAAAAAAATGAGACATAAAAAGGAAGGCACCATACTTCAGATGTGAATAGAAAACGGGTGAGTGTGTGTGTGTGGTATCCTACAGTATAGAGCAGAACCACATCTTTGACTGCTTCTTAGCCGGCTCGTTCGCTCTCAAGTGGTGACTTCCTCTGGTCTGATTGGTCGACTCCTGTGGGGAAAGGGAACACCGATTGGTAAGCTGAGAGGAAGAGGGCAGCTGTAGGCTACAGGCCTGTAGCTGAGTGAGTGATACTTACGAGTTTCTTTTCCATTTTGGTTTTAATATCCTTTGCCAGCTTGAAGAACGCCTCCTCGACGTTGAGACTCGACTTGGCGCTCGTCTCCATAAACTTGATATTGTACTCCATGGCGAGCTGTTCGCCGCGCTCGCGAGACACTTGCCTGCGGTCCTGAATGTCGCACTTATTGCCGAGAATCATCTTCTCAACGTCACTAGAGGCGTGCTCCTCAATGTTGCGAATCCAGTTCTTGATATTGTCGAATGATTTCTCGTTGGTGACATCATACACCAGCATGATGCCCATGGCACCTCGGTAGTACGCAGTGGTGATTGTGCGGAATCGTTCCTAGATGGGCAAAAAAGTTGTTGCAATTAAAGCTGCTATACTTTTTTGTTTTGTGTTTACCTGGCCAGCAGTATCCCATATTTGCAACTTGATCTTCTTGCCATCCAGCTCGATGGTGCGAATTTTAAAGTCGATGCCTAATGAGAGATATATGAAAAGGTTTAAACAATGGTCGTAAAGTGCAAGTGTAAACATACCGATTGTTGAGATGAAAGTAGTGTTGAATGCGTCTTCTGAGAAGCGAAACAAGATGCAGGTCTTGCCCACACCAGAATCGCCAATCAGCAACAGCTTGAACAGGTAATCGTACGTTTTCGCCATGTCAATTTTAGAGTGTCAAACACGTCAGAGAAGGAGAAATTGAGGAAAGAACGACAAAAGACTTTCCAGAGGCAAAGTCGCAGCAAAGCTAAACGAATTACGGTTCGCAAGTTGAAAACAGTGTCGCCTTGGTTCGGAGGTCAGATTTCCCTTGTGCAATGAAATCAACAGTCAGTGGAACTGAGTCACCGAAGGAGAAGAAGAAGGAGGAAGGTACACACTGAATGAATCGGAGTGCGTGTAAGTGTGTGCAAGCGGTGTCGCTGTGCTGGCGGACAAGAGGTACAACAGTCTGCTCTTCAGCCTGGCCTGCCCTGAAATCGGATATCAACGCCGAGTGGACCGCTGGTGATTGTGATGATGATGATGGTGGTGGCGGTGGTGATGTCAACAGCCGCGAGAATGAGTCGGCGGCGGTGTACGGCAAGGGGACCCGATCGGTGAAGAGCAAAACGGGTGCTGCTGATCAAAGACTACTTCTTCTGCTGATGATCGT